ACACGCACACGTACACGCACACGCACACGCACACGCACACGCACACGCACACGCACACGCACACACACACACACACACACACACCACGCACGCACGCACACACAGGCACGCGCACGCGCACGTTGTACAAAATTGTAAACAGATAATTGCATGGCCCCTGGACGACAGAAGCAGGGCATGATGAGATTCCGATAAGCTACGAAGCTACTTTTCTTCAAACACATCATAGCAGCGCGACACTGTACAGATAGGTCTCAATAGGCGAGGGAAGTACATACCACAGGCCGATGGACATCCCAGAATGCCCTCTCTTGGCTGTCCAGCACCTTCCTTTCCAACTTGTCTCGTTTCTTGTCAACCCTTGAACAGACCATAACATACGTAGTAGTAAGACAACAATATGCGACACCAACGCAAACAAGAACACCATAAAACAGCGCACCACTAAAATTGAAGCTTTGCCCCATCTACATATTGATCGGGCAAAATATTAATGATAATTAGACCGGCAGGTGGATAAGTGGCTAAACAAATCCCGTGCGAATTATTTAACAATTACTGAAAGTAGGGTGAATAATTCAACACAATTTGTATAATAACTTTCGGATCGACAATTTGCTTTCTTGTCCTAATCACTATCACAAACACAAACAAAAGCATTCAATGTGAGCGTAATTACTCCGACACATGCGCTCGAAAAACACCGAAAGTGAGGAAAATACCGATGTCACATAACCAATATACGCCCGTACACAACTCCAAAACTGGTAGGTTTTGTAGACGTACAGAATTGATCGTCTTTGCTAATTGCACGATCACGTGGTTTATAAAGGCAGAAATTCACAATGTCTCCCGCGGCGACATTGGACGTGTATAATTTCGTGTATTTATGGATCCGCCATTACCGACATTGGTTCAACGGGCTATAATTTGCATCTCTCGAAACTGCGCAAACACGAAGCAGACTCGTTATGTTTTAGTTGCCGGCACGCGTGCACTTAGTAATTTAGGCCATCTTTCAACTGATCTGGAAAATTTTAATGTCCGCTATTCATATAACATGCGGCTAGAGTTGAACTATTTCTTGTTAGTTTTGCTAACATAGTAAATTCACCAAAATAACGCCAGAGTATATATTTCTTTTATCAGGCGATATTTCTTTCAAATATCGTTTTCTAAATGTAATCGGTGACACGCTCGTTATAGTAAACTAATAAAGGAGCCTGTCGAGCTATCTACCCAATGGTACAAATGTAGGCCGGGTCTGTTGGTTGTATACAAGAAATAATTTAGGGTGGCCCAAAAACATAACCCTGCAAAAACAGAAGCGGTGTGCTGTGCTGGTTGTTGTAGGTTTTTACGTTCGAGTTGCACGCGCACACACTCTTTACCGCAAAAAATACATGCATTATAGATATTCCCGGTTTGCATTTTTTCTAAAGTGTTTCGACCGGACTCATAATTGTGAAAACCGCGCAGCTATGATCCATATCCACGTTCATAGAATTAACGTCTCGCGTGCACGTGTACACGTGCCTGCATGCATTCACTCTCGCGCCGCGCGTACACGCTCATGTACACACACATGCCTGTTGTCTCAAGGGTGCACTAAGTGCCACCAGATGGCGCAAAACTGCAAAAAGCCAGGCACTTGAAACCTTCGGGAGTTCCATGACTGCCTATCGAGGTTAGTATCGCAGACTAAGTGCACGTAGGCCCACATTCTTACTAAAAATCATGGTCCATATCAATATAAAAGCACAGCTAACCAAGAATGTCTAAACACTTGGTTGGAACTTATCTCATTCTCGTGCGCACTCTACTCGCGTGATGTTGTGTCCCGTTTCCAATTAGGCAAGCAGGCAGGCAGGCAGGCAGGCAGGCAGGCAGGCAGGCAGGCAGGCTACCTCTTGCGCAGTTTAGCAAGATGGTTGTTTCGAAGACCATATGTTGCATTCCACGTATGCAGTTCGTCACCTGCATGCTAGCAGGAAGCTATAGGCTTTCGAATCCATCATTCCAGCTCGACGTAAGCTTGTAATTAGTTCGTCAACAATTTTCTCGGGCAGCATAGTAATAGCTTGCACCTACATTGCACCTGCTTCTGCTGCATTGTCTAGCGTTATTAGGCAGCATGCCGGTGAGTTCCTTCTCCGGGTTGAACTCGTTCGGCAATGTTTGCTAATATATTCCTCCTTATTTGTATTAAACGTGGGCAAGATTGATGATCCTGCCGCACATACTCGACGCGCGATAGATTGGCCGCGCGCCACTCAATAGAATTTCATCTCTCCGCTGCTGGCTTCTCGGGCGAGCCGTGGCCTCAAAAAGACACCAATCGCTGGACGCGCTTTGGACGAGTCGCCCCGATTCGAACTCGCCCGTGCATGCTCCGACCACTGAACTATATCAATGTTATAGTTATAGTTATAGTTATAGTTATAGTTATAGTTATAGTTATAGTTATAGTTATAGTTATAGTTATAGTTATAGTTATAGTTATAGTTATAGTTACAGTTATAGTTATAGTTACAGTTATATTGTTATAGTTACAGTTATATTGTTATAGTTGAGTGGTTCTGACCCGGGCAGGCCGCGTCACGGGAGAATATTGAAGAGGGCTCGTGCGCAACGCAGACGTAAATCCACGGACACAAACACCGACGGAGGACCCGCTCGGGTGCGGGCCTCTTGACGCCCGCCCAACAAAACGCGGTTCGCGCCGAACATTGCCGCCTTATCAGTTCCATTGCGCATCGCCATTCAGAAGTGCGAGCGTACGACGCGGTCGCGAACAAGAGCCAATCTCAGATATCCTTCAGAGCGCCGACGTCGGTGATTGCGTTGTCGCTCAATACTATACGCGCTCGGTCTGCTCACGTCGCCTGGCCGCGCCGCTGTACGCGTAACAGAGTATAGTTTTGCTGCTCAACAGGAAACCTCGCGCAGTTTCCATCAGCAGACAAACATCGTGGGCAATGGCTGCGCGGTGTCGCCACACGTCCGTTACACGCGACGTAGATAGTCAGGAGAGAGAGAGAGAGAAAAAGAGGTCCCGATTACAATCTATTAGATATAAATGTAGACTATTATACCTACGTCTACGGTTCAATCAGTCCCACAAGATGCACCTAGTTGCCACGAGCGACGGCGGTCATGTTTGAATGTTTCGAGCAATCCATTTTTGCCCTTCGTGTATACGGACAACGTCGCTACTGCTACCAGATGGAAATATTCACCGTCTTCTGACATGTAATTCGCCCCCCGTAGTCGCAGCTGCTTTTTAATAAGACTAGATAACTGTATGCTCACATGACCGTAATGCGTCGACCTCGATTCTACTTTTAGAGATAAAGCATGTTGAACATAAAACGATTCACACGCAGAATCGCGGCCAACTTGAACATTATTTGTATTCACATGCGTCGATTTCATCTTACTGGAAGATGTAATATGGGGGAAAACTAGCATATGTATGCAGGACAAAGTAGTTTGAAGCCAATGTGTAGCTGCGCATCGCAAATTTCAGTCTATTACCCGTAATCGAAATAGCTAGTAGCGGCAGCCTGGGGCCAGTCACGATTGTTGCCACCCGAACTATCGCCGCGCTTTATGAAAAAAAAATACATTGGCAGTGTTAATCATTTGATTAAGTCGGTCGCCATATTTTATTCAGTGTTTGTCCCGCGCGGACCGTCACTTCAGAGCGGTCCGATCGTTCATCGAGTGCCGCAAAGCATTCCGCAAACAATTGCCACTAATTAAAAAACCAACTCAACCCGCGCGGCATCTCGCAGCGTCAATGGCGGCGGAGGGCACAGGCTAGCCTGCCCAGTGCGAGCGGCTGCCGTCATCGCCTGCTGCTGCTGCGCGCACCGTAGCACGCCACTACCACCACGTGACCTCTTCAAACCACGTGACCTCGTTCCTCCACGTCATAAACACACGCGAACTTGCATATTATATATAAATGCGTGGCCGACGTCTGCCGACGAAAACGGGAGAAGGATGGCACTTGATGCTTCTGTGGATTAATCAGCCGTTGCATGCATGCAGCCTTGAGTTTGGTAACATGTGCGCGTCGAGTACATACAATAATTACTCTGTGCCACCAGCGGAGACTGTGGAAAATATTGGCTTCCTTTCAATAATTTATTTTCGCAGTTGATATAATGATATTATCGGAGTACAATAACGGATCGAATCAAAAACTGTAAAAATATCAAAACTATGCAAATGGGAAAATGGGTTCCCACTACGCTACCTGACCTATCCAAAGTAGAATCAACTATTCGTACTCGCGATGTGTGCACGAGACAGATAATATGCTTTGCAATATAGAGAAAAACTTGAAAGTTGAATCTTTACTGTGGTATACGGTCAGTTTAACTATAAAATTAGGTTTTCTGCCTAGTGCGCAAATCTGTCCCCATGGAAACATTTATAACACGTACGCTGCGAGAAACTATCCTTTACGAGTGATTCCTAGTAATTATCAATACAATAATAACACCCCACCAACCGCCTCTGCGAGATCTAACCTGATTTCCCGCCGCCGTAAAGAGAAAGACAAACACGACTATAGCCGGAAGGCGTGAGAGCACATGCAGTGCACCTACTTGGCTTGTGCTTCAGCTTGCATAAAGATGAACTCCCACTTTCTGGAGAACATCTTCTGTAGCCGAGCTAGGTTCTCCGCTTCGTAGTCCGCCAGTTCCAGACGAGTCTTGTTCTGCATCGTGCGCTTGCATAGGTACACAGCTGCAAGAGACGGCAAATGCTATTAGGTGCGCTGTTCGTCGGATTAATTAAGACGTATGAGCAGTGACGCGAGAACGAGAGACGAGGGTGAAAGAGAGCTCGCGGGTCACGCCGGAAACCAGACGTTACAATGCCAGAATTAGCATTCAGCATGATTGCGCACGCAGCATCAATCACACGAGCTTCCCTTGTCGTTATTAATAACGCGTATGCTCTACAATTAACGTTGGCAAGAACAGAGAGGGTGTATTTAGTGAGCCTGTAACTCGGGTTTCTGGTAGCAATCTTAGCGTGTGATAAATCTCAGAAACGGTAAAGCATCACACCACAATATCAGACATTATTATAAATTATAGACTCACAAGCGCGTGGCGCTGCGCAATGGCATGTCACTCACTATACATGCATGCAGCCATCAACGTCAACCACAACTACACCTGCAACTACATCGATAACAGTAACTAACTATATGACTGGGGGCATGACGCTACCTCAACCTTCCTCGAAATCACGAATACTACCACTGTCGCTATACTATCACCAGTGTCAGAGTCACGATCTCCCCCACCACCCCCACCACCGCAATTAACAATCACAACGAGGATAAATACAAGGACAAGCCCATCAGCAACGCCACCCTAACGGCAACAACAACATCATTAGCAACAGCAATTGCGTCGCCACTAACGATCACAAAGACGCACCGACTCCCGTATAACATCAGTCACAACCTCGGGGCTAGAATTACTATCACACAAATAGTTGCTACACATCTTATCAATCCCGCAGTATGATTACACACGCAACATGCCCACGAATACACGCGTATATACAAGTTTTTCATAACATCTCGTGGATATCACCTGCACAAACTGTCGCAAGACTACAACTTGATTATGAGGATGATTCAGATTCAATTAAAAAGGATGGCTCACTTCGCGACGCGCCTAGATTTAATATCTATAGATTTAATATGCTTTCATGCAGTATTATATGCCATACGGTGAGCGGTGGCGTTGTTATCCTATATTAAATGCTTTTTAAAATACAAAATGTATCGCTAGTAAAAACCACAAATCTGTCTTTAAAGAAAACAGGTACCTTAATTCCTTTAGCGCCTAGACTGTCCCCTGTATCATCAGGGCGTGTAAAGAACGTACGATGAACGCGGTAAATGCCCCGAGTGGTGAAAAAAACAAACCCACGCGGGCAGGCGGGTTTCGACTATACGTATGCTAAAAACAGACGCTGCTGTCTCGCGAAGACGTGGCGAGCATTTAAAGAGCTTCACGCCGGTGGGTAACACGGACGGGAGTTAACGTAACGAGTTTTAATAGCGAACAGCGCTGTCGACGCAGACACCGCGAATCCGAACTTGCTGTCGATCGACTCGAACTCGCGGCGGCGCGAAAATGCCCGCCTAAATGTTTCGATAGTCTCGTGTTTTTCCCCCAAATTACAAAGCAATTTGCTTGAGATGCTCGCCAACACATTGGTAATCAATCTCGGACTACTGTGAGTTTAAATGCGATGCTGAATTGATAATTTTGAATGAAAATAAGCTAACCATGTCGACAACACAGCCAGCTGGCAGAACCCCACAATGTCACGTCACGTGTACACAGCCATGATTATAGAGGGATTCCGCAGAGGAACAATTTACAGACAATATAGCAAACGCATTTTTCCTGTAAAATTAATTTTCTCCTCAGATAAAACATAGGCGTACCTATAATGCAAGGCTATACTCACCTACTCTATTAACCTGTCAATCTCGTCTGAAAATACATGTTTTCTTACATCTCTAACGATTAGCCCATGCATGTCAAATGCAGATACAATTCTGGATGGAAATATTTCGAGAAAAAAAAACAGTCTTGACGATATGGATACAGTCAAGAGCGTATAAAGAAGGAGAGCGTTCAACGGTGAAATGCTGAAACCGTGTTGCAGTATTAGTCGAATTAATCCCCGTTGTATTTTGACGATTATTTGCAGTATTATTGATCAGCTGTCCTACCTTGTTAATATAAAACAAACCGCATGTCCCTACGATGCCCCTACGCTGAGATAATGAGCGGTGAAAATATGGTATTTTCGCCGAAAACCGACTCGAGATCAGTGTTTACTGCGACTGTCTCTCGCTTCGTGGCCAGTGTATTGCTTCCGGTCGCCGCTGTGTAGCGCCATGGTAGCGCTGACTCACGTCAGTACTACAGAGTTTACCATAGATATCTATGGATATTACTATACATCCAGCGTGAGGTGGGCACAGGTAGGGGTCATCACTATGGCAATCAATAACAGACGTCATTCATTCCATTTGTCAATCATTGACGGAAACACGCGAGGTTTCCCGAAGTTATCTCAAAGCGAGAGATGACAGTCACAGTAAAAAGTGATCTCGAGTCGGTTTTCGGCGAAAATACCAGATTTTCACCGCTTATTATCTCAGCGTAGGGGCATCGTAGGGACATGCGGTTTGTTTTATATTAACAAGGTAGGACATGCAGCTGATCAATTCCACTATGCCCACCTCACTATCCGCTAAGCTAAATAATAAAACATAATACCACGAACAAATGTATATTGTGTGCGTGTGCGCGTGTGCGTATGTGCGTGCGCGCGCGTGTGCGTATGTGCGTGCGCGCGCGCGTGTATCCATGTTGTGACATCACTGCTTTCCTATATGAGCCCACCTAGCTGGCTCACCTATTGCTGATAAATATGTTGATGTAATTAATTAAGTCATGTTGTAGGGTTTTATACCAGATGATGCCACGTATCCGAAAGAAAGGAATATGCACAAGAAACATTATCATTATTGTTATTACCTCCGCGCAAACGGAGGTCATGCAATCGCTCGTGTGTGTGTGTGTGTGTGTGTGTGTGTGTGTGTGTGTGTGTGTGTAGCCACCGCGCGATCGATAGCGCGTCGAGTCAGCGAGTGGCGAGTCAGCAGCAGCCATCAGTGAGCGGCGAGTCAGCAGCAGGCGAGTCAGTCAGAAATAATACTGCAAAGAATCGTCAAAATAAAACGGGGAAAGCTGATTAATTCGACTAATACTGCAACATGGTTTCAGCATTTCACCGTTGTACGCTCTCGATCCTTCTTTATACGCTCTTGATACAGTCCTACATAAGCTACAATCTTATACAGACATGTAACGTAAATGTAACACTAATAATTAATTATATCGGTTATACTAAACGAACAGTAATAGTCGTGTATGTTAAAGTGTAAGTGACATTGCACACATTGTATGTGTATTGAAGGCACGCTGTATGATAAAAAGTCAATAGAGAGGGGGACATTTTGATATGAATCACAAGGCGCGGTACTACGAGAATGTTATATTACTATATACGACAATAAGATGTTTCTCAGAAAGTTTGACAAAAAAAAACACTGTAAATCGCTCAAATTTCAGTAACAAATTTCAAGTTAAAATAAACAGCTTATCGTGAAGATATTAATATTCATTAAATTTTGATTACGACTATTAAAGATGATGTAAATACGTCAATATTTAATTTCACATAAAAATTTAAAGTGCATCGCAGCCTGATTGAAGGATGAGGACTGACAGTTCGAAGCACGACTGCATTTAATATTTTAAAAATGCAGGTGACAACGTATGATCGATTTAATGTAAGCTTCATATATACAAGTGAAATCAGCCACGGCACCTAGCGAATGCAGGTATTGAACTTTGTATACAAATCATATATACGGAACGACAGACACAGGGGAGCTGTGCAGAGCTAAATACGGAATCATAAAAAAGTCCCATTTATCACTTTATGCCCATAATGCATTAGGTGACACATGGTGCCTAGAATTTTTCACCGCCAGTTTCCGCACACAATCGTAATGCATCCCAGCGGCCTAAATGCACACCTGGCACAACAAATGCGTATCGAAATATAACAAATAAGAAATACTATAGAAATCTACAAATGAAGGAAATGAGCTCGGCAAAAATATGAGTTGGGCGGAAATGTGACAGGTATATACTTGCCACTAGAGATGTTGCTATAGAAGAGCTACAAGCCAGATTTCGTTGCATAATTTCGTTATTATATGCCGTGATTCATTGCGTAGCACGGAGATTACATGAATTAAAATTTTTTAAGGAACAAACTTGCTGCATTTGCGTCTACATGCAATTTGGTTAAAAATGTTAATTAGATTTTAGAACACATTGCACAGAAACAACGAGGTAATTCTAGCAGAATCACACATTTACGACAAAACTGGAGGTTGATTGATTTTCCTACAATAACCAGACAGCCGTACTATACGTGCCGAAAATGGGGAGCAGGGATTCATCCCAATAAATCCCTTATCAATGGAACCGCATTTGTCTACGCACCACGACAATCGTCAGAAATTGTAAAAGATTAATCTGTCTAAGCAGAAAAAAATCCAGTCATTTTTCGAGAAATACGCAAATTTATTTTTTTCGCGTAGATTGGACTGGAATTCCCCGCAAGCACACGATGGGGAATAAACAGAGGCTCAGTTCAGAGGCCATGTGTATAGGCGGGCTTCATAACTCGTTAGGATGGGAGGGCGGAGTACTCGTTATCTCTGCTTCCTCAGGGCATAAGCGTTGGTGTCCGAGACAAGCTAGTTACAAGGCTGCAACTCGGCAACATTTTTTGAATACCACAAATTCTGCACACATACATTAGCCAGTCGATGGGTAATTTAGCGATATATTGGCATTTCCATGAGCTGTCAGTAGAACTTCGAGTAAACATTCTTGCTCGCCTACTCAGTGCAGCAGCTATACAACACAAATTCATATATATTCCCGATGAAACTCGAACCTCGCTGAACGTGCGAATGCACTCACAACAGTCCATCTGTTACGCCGCATGCTACCATGACAGCTCAGAAGCCAGTAAACTGCATGACTACAATGCAGGCGAATAGAAATTGATAACCACGTGACGGCGAGGGAACTATGTGGGGACCTTTTCTGAGCATTTAA